TCCTCGGCAAAGACGAAGCATTGAGGCGACTGCCAGGCATGTAGAAGGCCGCTTTGATCGAATTCGGGGTGCCCGTGAACTTGACCAAGGGTCGCGTGTTCTTCTCTGGCGAAGTGAGGTTCACAGCGCGGATCATGTCAGTACAAAACTCTACCACATACAGTTCTGACTTGTTAGCAGAAAGCGCAACAGCAGTAGGCCCAAAGAACGCTGCCGTTGTTGCGTTTCCATCAACGCTTTGCCCTTTTACCTTCGAGCCACAGAGGACTGAGACCGTCCTAACGTTCAGGTCAAACTCCCATATCTGGCCCCATTTAGCAATCGGGTTATCGGTTGACAACCCATTGAACGAGATATAACCCCAAGCACATGCATAACCCTTGCCACCAGCATCTGGGACAATGATATGACGGAGATCGTACACTTCTTCTGGGATGGAAGTCACAAAGCTGTTCTCCAGCAGATTGAATATGGGGCCAACCGYTAAATTCGTGGCATTTACGAACGCACTCTGGTATGCTGGATTGAGCCCTACACTACCAMAGAAAAGGAGGAGCATAAGCAGCAGGGTCCGCGGTAGAACCAAAGGTGAGAACCACACATCGCTCCACAGAAAGGTGTCTGCCCRTGTTCTGTGAGCTGACGATGATGATGATGGCTCCATGCGTGGAGCTTCTTGTCTCCCTGCATCAAGAGCACCACAATCGAACAAGATGTGTCACTGAGTGAAAACAATGAGTGCAGCGTGGAGCGGCGCGGGCAAAAGCGGCACCAGCACCCATAACAGCTGGTACATACAACAACAATTGRGAAAGCACTGTCTTTTTCAAAGAAACCATCACAAGGTGGACGTCCATCAAGCGTGGATGTAAGAGCCCACGCTGACAATGGTCGAAAKTGCAATAACCATGATCATRGGGCAACGGACGGCGGGATCAAAATGGTGCAAACCAAGCAAGTATTAACTGTTCGTAARCAGGTCATGAGCTTGAATCCTGATGGAATCAGATGGTCACAGCGACAATAATGGTCAAGCGACAATAAACATCATGATGATAGGGCCAACTAACTGCACAATGTGTCCGATCTTCAACATCAACCAGCAGGTCATGCTCACTCCAGTGGAGTCATCACGACTCCAGCRGCGAGGTCTCCAATGGGCATGGGCTTMAGGACCTGAAAGTGAACCTGCCCTTAAGCATTATCCCTTGCGAGTCTATGATCCATCCATTATTAAAACAAGTGGACCTGTGTCCAGCAGCCAATCAAATCGAAAACGAATGGAAATCGGCAAAGCACATGGAAAATCGAAGCGCTGTCTGGAAAGCAAGTGTAAGCAAAGCAAAAGACACAGAAGATCGAAAATCCACTTGTAATGCAGCTCCACTCTCCTCCCTGTGCTCCCTTTCCTCCCTCCTCTGTTTGCTCTGGGCATTCTTTCTGCTAGCTCGCTTTCGGTCCCTCCTACCATTCTCAACCGAGTAGAACGGTCAGTTACTATCGCTGCATCGAGCTGAAAGTTGGCCGAAATACAGTTCTAACGATGGGTTCTTCTTCTAAGGTGAAGACGGTACTCACCATACACCCGTCCRTGTTCTGAAATATGAGATGCTTTTTCAAATAACTGATCAATACAGATACTAACCAAAAGGCCAAGAAAGGTATAAGGACACTAACTACACCAAAAAACATTAGGATTACTACTGTCTTCACCTGAATAGAAGGCCTTGTCATTATAGCCGCATCTGGTGCGACTTTGAGTACAAATACAGCAAAAATATGACAGGACATTCTGTTTAAGTGAAGGTGGTAGTTTCACCGGCTCATGTGACTCTTTTTCTTGGCAAAAGGTGAAAATCAGTAAGGCTCTCTCCTGCGGGTAAACAGGTCACGATTTGAACTCTGATAGAATAAAATGAAAGCTCTTTTTGCTGTTGGCATTGCTACAGATTTTAGATCGGTGGTTCC